AATTCTGTGAGTCTAATTTCCGCTCTAACACTGAGCTATGTAGGATGCATTATACTTTATGCTCATAATATTCGCAAATATTATTTGTCTTTGTTTAACATTTGATAAACAACAAGGATAAAAAGGTTCCATGAGAACGCCTCTGCAGAACGTGCAGAAACAATTGCTGCGATAACCATAAGTATCCAATCAAAGTTCGCAACTTAAATGTCGAATTGCGTAAAAATCTGTCTGTATTAATTACATAAATACATTACATTAAAATTAAATACATACTTAACTTTAATAAATATTTATTTTGTTTAGAAAAACGTTTTATTTTACTTAGCAAAATATTATTTGAATAAAGAAAAATATATGTATCTTTAAGATAAAAAACAAATATTATTACATCAAGATTAACAAATGAAATAAATCACAAATGTTTATTGAATATTGTAAATTAAACTTTATATATTGTTATAGTAAATATTTACATTATTTACTCATTTATACATTTATACTGACAAAAAAATTTGTTTTTACTTAATATTATAAATACATTGTATTAAAATTAAATCACTTTAAATAAATATTTATTTTATTTAGAAAAAGTTTCATTTTATCTAATGAATTACTTAAATTTGTTTACTCAAAGATATCATTATGTGTTTAAAATTAAATATTAAATTATTTAAAACAAATATATTTATTTAAAATTTGTTTTTTATTATAATGAAAGAAATGTGTTTTTAATACAAGCAGTCGAAAACAAAAAAATTATTTATTGCTTTAAATCATTCAATATATTTAAATTAAGAAAATGAATGCAATTAACATCATTAATTTGAAGTTAAAAATTATGTTTTAAAATTACATGTCTGTACTAGCCGTAAAAAAAATGTTTTTAGGTTCGGTACATTATCGACCCCATTGATAATACTTTCGCATTCTAACGCGGCTTATAGATTGTGTTTTTCCTAGTCAATAGACTCTTGGTATATAGGCCACTTCAGAATGCAAAAGTTTTATCACCGATCAGTAATGTACAAATTTAAAAACGTTTTTTTGCAGCCAATGAAAGACACATATAATTTTAAAATACATTTTTTAGTTTCAAATTGATATACTGTCAATTACATTCGTTTCCTTTATTCAAATATATAATCGTATTATTTAAAGTAATAAACAATTTCTTGTGTTCAACTATTTGTTTGAAAAAACATTCTCTTCAATATACTATTTTTTTAGTTTTATTAAATGTCATTATGTTTTAGGAAAATACTTTCTTTTTTTAAATGTTACATATTTAACTCAAAAAATAACATTTCTTTATTCAAATAATTCATAAAGTAAAATTAAATGTTTTTCTAATCGAAATAAATATTTATTTAAGTTAAAGTATTTAATTTCAATGTAACGTATTTAATGAAAAAAATTTTTTTTCAGTACAGATTATTTTTTCAAATGACTTATTCATAGGGTTTATTCATAGGTATTATTATTCATAGAATAAGGCTGCCGAAATCGCATCACTTTTTACATATATAAAGGTTTATTTATAACTCGGAAATTATGAGAGAATATTTTAAAGCTTTTACAGTATAATAAACTGTAATCTTCTCTCTCATGTAATTTTTTCATTATTAAGTATAACATTTTTTTGCATTATTAAAATATTTGAAAAAAGGATTTTTTTCAGTATGATTTGATTTAGGCAATGAGGAAATTTAGTTGCTTAAAAAAATCGTTTATCTTTATATATGTATGCGTTTATAACGCGACATATACATATATCTATAAGTTTGTCTGCACTGTTAAATCTATAGTATGAAATTTAATCTATAACGTGAGTCACCATTGCTCCTCGCGTACTCAGATATATCATTATATTATACTAAAACAATAGTTATATTTGACATTTTACAGTGTCAAATTGACATGATGATCTAGTGTTAAATTTGATTACCATATTATTTTTAGTATAAAATAACGATATATTTAGTAGGAGTGGTAACTCACATTAAATTACTGTTCGTTTTGTCTCTCGGGAGCTACTCGGATTCGCTCCAAACGAATCCAGCGTACTTGGATGTGGATCCATTTAATGCTGCAAATGCTTCGTTGATCAATTAGAAGAAAGAATTTTACAAATTGATTAATCAAAAAATACTTTGAAGCATTTACAGCGTGAAATGGATCGCACTAAAGTACGCTGGGATCGTTCAGAGCAATTTCTAGCAGCTTCTAACACACAAAACGAACAATGCTTAAGTTAAATTTGACACTACAGATTTAATAGTGTTGATATGGATTAAATCTGTGTAAATTAGACAAGTTAATAGTTTTTGACCAGTATATAAAACAACAATTCTTAAGGTTACTGAACTAATGAGCATTTTATGTAAATCGATATGATGTCTTTATGCCAGATGTTCATTAGTCCAGTGGTCTTAATGTTACGCTTATGCAGTTTATGTTGTTTTGTTCGTGGTGACTTAAGATTGGGACAAGATCTTTTATACATATAAAGTACTATATAAAGAAATCAACCAATTAGAGTCTTTTATTTTGTAAAGAGAGAAAGAAATGAAAAAAAATTTTGATCGGCTTTTATATTTTTTATGCGTTATACACTATGTTTTTGCTCTTATGGGTATATCCAGATAAACTTGCAATAAACATATGATATACTTACATAAAGAAAATTATCCAATCGTATTTTTATATGTATCTTTATAATAGAAACCGAATCATTTTCTTTAGGCATACATTTATGTGGTTAAGCAACTTAAATACAATTTAGTAATAATATTATACAATTTTAAAACATAATTAATTAATTATTGTAGACATAAGATAATTGATAGTTTCTTTCAAAAAGGATTAACCAGCTATTATCGCCAAAAAGATGCATATCCAATATAAGATCTGTTCTTTTTGACTAAACTTTTGCACTAGTTCATCTTTCTTCCTTTTCTCTCCAGAAGAGAAAAGGAAAAAAGATGAGACCTGATGCAAAAATTCAGCCAAAATAAACAGGCTTATCAAATTCCAATTTCCTACAAAAGTCGTTGACACACGATTGTTATTTTTACCGATATTGATTTGTTATTATTATAAATCACTTCGTAATCAACTGGAACTTGCAATTAGTGCCCTCACAGAAAGGATTTCTAATAATAGTTAAGTACAAGACTCTTAATTTAAAAATAACAGTTATGTAATACAAGAGTACTGATAAGAGTGTAATAAACACTTTATCAAATATTCAAATAAAAGTACTAAGATACTAAAATAAAAAAATAAACTTTACTTTAACAGATCTACGAATTAACATTACATGTTTCAGCTATATGATTCAGCCCTTTTTTGTACAAAGCTTATGTATTAAAAATCTATCTTATTATATTTTAAAACGCAAAATAGATATACAGTAAAAGAGCTATTTTGAAGAAAATCTTTGTTCACCAAACGATTGAATGACCGATTGAAATAGTATTTCACTATGTTCAAATTGTCCATAACATATTAATAGCAAAAAGACCGTCAAACGATCCACATCTCGTAAACGCAATCGGTGTCAAGAGAAGCAGTCACAGGATTTCTAATACTGAGGAGAAAAAAATGTTCTTGACGTACTTCATCTTAGTTCAACCCTATACATTATAAAATTAAGATTATTTTAAAAAGAGATCGATAATTTGATTCTTATACATCCTCGAATAAAATAAGATCGACATCTTATCTTGAAAACAAGTATAACACACGTATAAATTTAGAAATTTATATATTCTTACATTTATTATAGAATAAGTCTATCCAGTTATATACGCGCAATTCTACAACATCAAAGCAGCGAAGCTCTCGTGGTGTAGCGAGTTAGGTAAGAGACACGTGGAACAAGAGATCCCTACAGTTCGGCTGAGCTCAGTTTTTCATTACCGAAAAATATAAATAAAACATTCCTTCCGTAGGAATAGAATAAAAATGTTTAAACGAAGAATATTGTGTCAAACTTAAATTTTTCTATTAAGAAAATTAATGTGAGCTAACATCAAGAATACTTTATTCTAAATTTTAAAATTTTTCGTTTAAGATTAAAATATTCTACTTTGAAAAATAAATATGATTGGCTCGATGTCGATCTTATTTTGTTTTAGATCTTGGAGTATTAGCATTGAGTATAGAAATATTTTCTGCGAGTGCTGATATCAATTTTCCGCGCGTCGACACCCTTCATGAAATGGATTATTTCTTAGTTGTTAATTAGAGCATAGCATTATGTAGAAAAAAAAATACGCAGGTTACAGCTATTTTAATCGTGTACACAACACACGAAAGATATCTATAAGCGAATATGACGTAGACGTTGTAACCAAGCGGAAGTACTTCCAAGCATAGTGAGTTCGTGCATCAGCACTAAATTAATTAACATATTCTCGTCAAGATTGACGAAAATCAAATACGTTATTCACAATTATAGCTGTACGAAATTTTCTTTGACTAGATTTACGCTATCATTTCTTCTACAATTTTATAATTTTCAACTTCTCCGTAATAAATAAAAAATCCGTGTTTTTTTCTCCAATTCTTTTACAGTAATTTTGACATTGTTAATTTAATTTACATAAAAAATTTAATTTAATTTAATTTCATTATTATATGCAATATTGTGCAACTATTGTCTTCTGTTTAATTTCCTATTAGAATCAAATGAAAAAAACTGAAAAGGGCTTGATATATATACAATTGATTTAAAATGACATTAAAGATAAATAAATAAAATAGAAATTAGCACCCCATCTTATGTAAATAACGTTAATATCATATCCATAAAATCGTTAACTGAGAGAATATTTATTAATCTGTAATAAGGCGAAATTCGACAAGTATGTGTGAAGTTTAATTTTGTAAAGATTATAGAGATGTAGAATTGATGGTTCTCAGTCAATAATTGCTTTAGTCTCGCGTAGGTAAGTTTATTCCTAAAAGAAAATGGAAGAGAAAAGTTCACTCACCTAATCCCATATCTCGGAATATTTCCTTTGGTGCGATTTCGATTTCTTGCTTCTTGCTAGTTGGACGAGAGGAGACGGTTTCTTTGGGTTTTGGTATTTCGCGCCGTTTGATACTCTCCTTCTTCGAATCGGCTGGCGGCTGTGACGGTTTTGTAGTCTCCGCGATTAAGAAGTCACTCGATGTTTCGTACACGTCCTGATGTGCCTTCTCGAGGAGCTGCGCTTCCCTAGGTAATGGAGGCAGCGGTTTCGTTGGCGGTTCGAATGCCTCCCGCTTCGTGTCTATTTTCTCCATCACGTTCCATGAGTCATCATCCGTAATACTCTTAAATTTGTTCTCCCTCGATGATTCACTGTCCGATTCACCGAGAAAGTCAATGAGAGGTGATTTTTCCGGTGCCGGCAGCATCGACGATCTGATGTTTTGCATAAAATCATCGGTATTGGAACTACTCAACGGAATGACATCACGTTTCCCATAATCGGTGAACAATGTATCCTCGCGCTCCTCGAACGGAGCTTTGCTGTCAACAGCTTTCATCGACGATGACAGGAGAGGGTCAGGTTGAATAGCCGTAGTCGAGGTCGATAACAACGGTGGTTGGAGAAGTATCTCTTCCTGCTCGTTGTCATCGTCATAGTATACGTCGTCGTGATCATGAAGTCGTTGTTGATAGGATCGCTCGATCTCGACGAATGTCATGCTGACTTGCTTGGAATCGACCGGGTCCAGCGGCTGCTGGAAAGGATCCGACGACTGCGCCATGGCCGCGCACTTGTCGAAGTCCGCGGAAGGCGGCGGGGTCGCCGGTACGGGTTTTGCTTCGGTGTCAAGAAGCGCGCTGGGCAATAACGAGTCCAACGGCTGAAAGGAATCACCGATGTGCAGTAGATCGTCGACACGTGGCGTGTCAATTGGCTGAGCTGGTGGTGATTGTTGATGGTGAAGCTGCTGCTGCTGCTGCTCCAAACGCTCGTCCGGAGAGCCGTCGTGGCCGAGATGCTCAAAATCGTCAACGGAATCGTGATCCCTCTTGAGAAGGACGTCGTCCTGAATCCGCCGCGGGTCCATCTTCGGTTTACTAGAGATAAGAGCGATTTGCGTGCTAGGCGATGACTCACTGGATCTACACGAATTGGCCAGTAGCCGTTAGAGCTTCGATCCCCACACGATGTCGGTTGCGCTGGGTTGCGCGGAATATTGCGCGACGCTCCCTACTCTCCATAAAAGTCAGATACAAGGAGCGGCACTACTCCCACCTGCCGCCGCTGTTGTTGGTGCTGTCGACCAACAACTCTCAGTGAGGCACATCCGATGTCCTTGCCGTCTCCTGACTCACCACCACTGCCTTTAGTCACCGCAGTTCACAAAAAATACGCGAACGCCTACAAATACTATTAACTGTACCTATACTTACTCATTGACCAGCTGATGGAATTGAGACGCGAACAGGGAGCGCGACAGGCGAAGAGTTGCGAAGAGCGAAACCTCAGCAGAGGGTAGAAACTGGAAATACTCGACCGCGAACTGCCGCGAACTGCAGCGAACTGCAGCGAACTGTGTGAAACGGCAAAATTGAAATGTTAGCCTACTCAGCTCAAACACTGCTTGAAACTGCTTGAAGGTTGTGTTTGATGCGATCGACATAGACGGGTAGATTCGGTACTTCCCTCACGAAGGGGTTGCCCTCTCCCGTTCCAATGAACGTAGCGCGTGAACCAATCGCGTGGACGCTGTCCATCCCTTCCATGTCCAAGTATGTCGAATTAAACGGTAGCCGTTGCATTTGATTGTCACCGTCCGTTTCGCCAACAGGACTCCTATTTTTCCAAAGTAACGTAAGTTAATGGACATGAATCAGTTGTTGGACAAAGTGATAAAACATTTTAAATATAAAGCTTTTGATGGTACGTACGATTCTAAATTAATTTTTGTAATTAAATTTTTATAGACAATAAATTTATTTAAAGTTATACATATCATTAACCACTAACTGGTACATTATACTAGAGAAATATACTACAAGACATTTGCTTTGCGTTGCAAAGTGTACGCAAAGCGAGCAGCATGTGGGTTGGATTATATTATTTTTGGGGGGAGGAGGGAGGGCAGAATACCCTGGAATCGCATACAACGCGCGAAGTGAGAGAAGGAGGTAGTTAATTCCTAATATAGGTAGTATGATGTTTTCTTAGGATATTTACATATATAAATATTTAAAGATATTTTGATTATAAACAAGAATGAGTGGAATTAGAAACATTCTGAGTATATCTTATGACATTTTTAGAATATTCTCAAAATAATAAAAATTAATTGTTGATATAAAATATCCTTAAAATATGTGCTATTTGGGATAAAGGCCAAGCAGTAGTTTACTTCCTTCGGATAACTTTTATACCAATCCTCCGATTTTAGCCGTTCCCATTGACCAATTTTGTATTTGTCATTTCGTTTGATGCGATAATTCCAGTGGGTTAATCGACCGATTAAATCAATCGGAGTTGTTAAGTTTTAGCAGCTTTGCCTTGTGTTGTAAAATTCTTCAATATGATTGGTTTATACATTTTGATCCAGGGAGGAACTAAGAGCAAGACCAATTATATTAAAGAATAGGCACAAGTTGACAAAGCGGCTAGCCTGCTCGTCGATCAAATGAACATATTACTTATGGATCCAACCAATCATATTCGATCGCTCGGTAAGCGCGGGACCTAGCTTGAACTCGCCTAATTTTCCAACACCTGCTCTTTCTATTAAACTGCAATTACAAAAAATTTTTGTCGTACGACAAATGTTTATCAGTCTACGACTTTTATGTAGACGAGCTTTCTTACCAACTCCGATTAACGCTAATCGATGACAACCAACTCGGATTGATTATCAACGTGAAAACTAAATTTTTGCAATTTGATGCTATGAAGCATTTCTTGATTGGTATAATTCTTTCTTTCGATTGGTCAGTCGAAAGCTTCGAAGCATTTGAGTACCCTTAATCAGAATAAGTTGGCCAAAGAGGCCCTTATACATGATTTACAACAATAGAGTAGGGTAGAAAATTAATTAATCACAGTGAAATATGGAGAAAATAATAGTTACGACTTCTGTTGCGTGAAAAGCCGGTTCTACATTGCAAGCCAATCTTGATTTCAAAATACAACTAGAACTGTGTAGAACCAGCTTAACCTAACGTTCTGGTATGACTTCTATGTAGACTGGCCTTTAAATCTTTCAGATTTCTCTCTGTCGGCTGCGCATGCGTCGTATTGTCTGGTATCGCGACTGGAGTAGGGGAGTCGGCTGGACGGGGGTGGTGGCAACTCGGCAAGCGTAGATTAGTGAGTGGTAGCGACAAGTACGCACGTATAGCTCGCGACACGTTCAGACACGTTCGACATCCTGTCTATCTTTCTATTGGCTCTCAGCTCGACTCGATTCGAGTGACTTTAGCGCGAAATCGCCGTTATCCGATTGCCGGAATTTGTCTGTGAGCGATCGGATCGGCGGTGTGGATGATCGGGCGACGACGACCACGAGGTTGCGTATCGGCACGTGCGGCGAAACAACGCCGTCGACGTCGAGTCTCGAAGGGAAGACCCTGTGGAATGGTTTAACCTCGCACGCCGCTATGGATACCGGCAAAATCAACGGTTACACTCTGCCGAGTAACGGCCACGTCTACGTAAGTAAGCGATCAAATGATGCTATACGATCCTATACTCTCGATCTCACGTTCGCCGCGTCATGTTGCCCTTTTACAGTCGTATTCAATCAGGACCGTCAAGTATATCAATGTTGCTAGTTACGATCATTCTCCACTTCCTTTCTTAATTCAGCTTCATTAATTGTGGCTTTGAGGTATACAGAGTTTGCTTCCAAAAATGCAATGCAAACTTTGATTAGCTCAATTGCTCGGTAATTCAATTCAATTGATGAAATAAAAACAAAGAAATTTCTAACTTTGATGAATGCGCACTTGTGCATATTAAAGTTGTATTAGCTCCGATTCTTATCAGCCCACAATTTTACTATTCTTTAATAAAGGTACCTAAATTTTCATTCAATTTTTGTTATGTGTATTGAGGATTTCATTTCTTTCAACATATTTTGGTACATCAATTTGTGTACCCTATTGGTTGTGTTCCAAAATTTACTGCCACAACTGAAAATCTATAGTGCACATAATGTAAATTACAGATTTTCAATCCTGGCAGTAAATTTTGGAACACGGTACACCGTATCGTCTTGTTATGCAAATATTTGTATGGTAAAAAAGCTGCGCAATATGACACATAACGCCATCGACAATAATGCTTGTTTTACAATAGGGTCGTTGATTGTAATGCGTCTGTCTATCTACAATACACGGTGTAAAGAAGTAAAAGCCTCTTTTACAATAGGTCACAATCCGTAAGCTGTAAGAAATTAACCAATCTTTATTCTTTTCGTATTCAACTATGGTTGGCCAATTTCTTATGGCTTACGATTCTATTGTAAAACAGATATAAAAAATTGACCAATCACAGTTATCGAATGTATAATCGACTATAATTGGTCAGTTTCTTGCTCTTCTTACTCCGTGTATTGTGGACGACGCATAAGAAATTGGCCAGTTGAATGTGAAAAAAATAATCGATTATAACAAAAATAAGATATTTTGAATTTCGATATTATATAAACAAGTAAAAAGCAACGGATGACAATCTTTATTAAAATAATCTTATAATTCCAAAAAAGCGAAACGTTTCGACTCATACAAAAGTAGTCCTTTTCAGTCTCAAAAACTTACATAAATAGTATAATATTGTAATGAAATATAACAATTAAAACGATAAATCTATAAGGTGAAAAATGTTCATCTTGTAAAACGAAAGAAAATTATCTCATAAAGTTGTATTATGAAATGATCCGCATCATGATTCTATGGAACCAATAATAAACCGATAAGAATAAAAGGATTTGAAAGTGTATTGGCAATTTTAGATGCTCTATGTGCAATAAAATTCTCTTTCTTCAAATCGAAAAATAAAATAAAACACGTAGATGTTGGGTGTCACAAGAATAAGGCAAATTATGATTTAGCTGTTTAAAGTGTCGAAAATGTTTATTATTATGAGGGTCATAACAAGCAATTGTCTAACTTTTCAGTGTCTTTTTGGACATTCCCCTGTTCTTTGATAAAAAGCATTTCTGAAATCAGTCTAAGAATTATAGTGAGATTCTATATCTCATGATCTGTGCGTTATTCTAATCTAATCAAATTGAGTGCAATGTTCAGATAAAACCGAAAATTTTGAAGAAGAATCTCCTCTAATATTATATTTATGTTCTTTTATCCTTCTGATCAACTTTCTCTTTGTTTGACCTACATGTCGACGAGTTGTTACAATTAATTTTATAAACAAATTATTGTTTTTTGGTTTATTATTGATTCCATAGATTATAGAATGATGCGGATAAATTTCATAATACAACTTTATGGGATAATTTTCTTTCGTTTTACGAGATGACTAAAGAGAGAACATTTTTCACCTTATAGATTTATCGTTTTAATTGTTATATTTCATTACAATATTATACTATTTATGTAAATTTTTGAGACTGAAAAGGACTACTTTTGTATGAGTCGAAACGTTTCGCTTTTTTGAAATTATGACATTATTTTAATAAAGATTGTCATCCGTTGCTTTTTGCTTGTTTATATAATACCGAAATTTATAATATCTTATTTTTTAAAATATAACAAGCGTTATCTTAACATTTATATAATCGATTTGTCAATTTCTTACGGCTTGTGATTTTTTTCTCTACATGTTAAGATATCGAAAAATTAGTAATTCTATGTATTTTGTAACAAAATATAATATAGAAATAATGAAAAAGGGCTACGAGCCAAAAATTCGTTAAAATATACAATTGTTAGTAAATAAAAATTGTTATTTGGTTAAAATTACATAGTTTAATTTAACAACAGATGTTTCGACCTCTATTAGGTCATTATCAATGTTGTTACAGAAAAAAATAATCGCAAATTGTTAAAACAAAACAATAATGTACGGAATTATAAAATTAAAACTATAAAAAATATATATAAAATAATAAATTATATACTCTCACTCGCATGGTTGACACATTATATTAATTTCGGTACAATAGCTAGAGTCCATAAATCTTTATGAATCGTCTAGTTATAGTGTCTATTATTAGTTTCTTATAATATCGTATCAAAGTACAATTTATAAAATGGTCCAGACAATGCGATGAGAGCCAAATTTTAGTTGTTACTCTTAAAAGTTTAAAAATGATATGATAATATAGGTACTGTAATTAATTAAATTAATAGTTGATTAAATTATCATCATAATTATTATATATCATAGTTCCGTCCAAGTTTTTACGATAACTTTTGTCGAATTTAAATTAATATAATATTATTAATTCAAATGGAAAGATTGCTTATAGCATATAATTCATCATTCGTAATTTTATCTTATCTCATACAATAAGTATGTAGACAATAAGAATTGATAATATTTTTTATATTAATAAAATACTACGGACATTATGATAAATTAATTATAGGTTAAATTACTCGGAATTTAGTAGAAGCACCGACAGTATTAAAGACGGTTGATTCTTATGGAAGTTTGCGTGACTGTTAAAATTTAGGTAATTAAGAGTAAGAAATTGATAAATCGGTACTAATTTATTAATTTCGTAGACATGTATGTATGTTTAAAATTTAATAATACTCGACAGAGAAAAAAATGCAAGTTTTTGACAATAATTCTATTTCCACTATTTTTTAAAAAAAAAAAAAAAAAAAAAAACTGTTTAAAAATCGAAACAACAATTTAATTTGCCAAAATTCTCGTTTTAGAATTATGTATCTTTTAAAATCCCTCCTAATAATAGAAACAAGAAACTGTGGTTAGAATCTTCGTTGGAGTCACAAAGTGAGCACTGCGTGAACTTGACGTCTCATTTTGCACTTTATCTTTCTCGGCTTTAATGACCGGAAATATTTGTTTAGCCTATATAGAACTATTGAAAATAAACTCAGTTTTCATCAAGTGAGACGTCAACTTCATAATTATTTCACGAACTTTTTCTACAATTATAAGATAATCGCGATTGGTAATGCCAAAACTAATAAAAAAAAAGTATGAAAAAAATTTAAGTATTTGATAAAAAGAAAGATGAGAAAAATTTACCTAACAATTTTAAAAAGTCGTAAGTAATACACCTTTGGCGCAAATTATTTTACAAAATGATTTAATATTATATTAGCGATTTACAGTAAAGAAAAAAAAGAATGGTTTGTTGCTATATACTGATTGAGTTATTGGTTTTCTGTATGACAAATTCCAGCAATACGGATTTGCAGAGATAAGAGGACGCTTTTTCTGATATTAATTATCTTCGGATGCAAATCTAAGCTATACTTACTAAATATTTAAAAAATACATCGATCATTGGATATTTATCACGTGAGTGAATTATTGGATATTAAAATATTCACTTTATCTCTTCAAATAACACGAGAATTATGTATTTAATACGTAGGATACGAAAAAAATATATATATTGTAAAAAATTATGAATGAGCCGTAATAAAATATGATACCTATCTAAAAGTAAAATGTGACTTCTGTTTACTCACATATGCATTTTTATTATGTCATTGTGCATATATTCGAGTCGCACATGAATATTTATGTAATAGTTTTTTCTTTTATTATATTTGAGTTTTTATATTTGAAATTCATTAATGTTTTTACAAATTATTAGTATTTTTACAAAATATTGTTCTTCTCATATATAATTATATAAATTAAAGATTAAGTGAAAAAATATCATATAATGAAATTTTATTTAAAAAAATAAAAAACCCAATAAAATCCAATAAAACTTACTGTACTGGGCTGCTTAAAAAACTGGGTATTTTTTTTCCAGCCTTGGTATGTAACAGTGCTAGCTAACATTATTTTATAGTATAGTACAAGCATGATCAACATATTCACAGAATTGATTTCTCATTAAAAATATAGAATATGAACGACGACTAACTCGCTTTTTTAAACACGACAAAGTTATACTTCGAGATGCGACCACGAGGTTATTGCTTGCTTGTCCATGAAATGTGATAAGTGATCCGCTCGCGGAAATCACTATCGCAGTGCTGTAATCAATTTTTTTAGATTAAGATGACAGTTTTTATATTAAGGCTATATACTTAGGAATATGCTATAAGCGCTATTTGTGCCATTGTATCTTTGTTTTATGTTTAATGAATGATAAAGGTAAAATAAGATTCATGAAGGTAAAATAGCGTTAAATTTTTTTTATAAACGGCCCTTAAATATCTCAATTTTCTCCTTTTCAATAATTAATGATAAAAAAAGGATATGTGTAGCATTTTATCCTGATGATGCAATTGTGACTTGGAACGTGATAAAAATATCAAAAGTGTTTTTTAACAGATTGTACATTTTACAATTATTCTAGTACTTGATAGAGATATAATAAAATCAATAAACGAGAAAGATAAAACGTAAAAAAATGCGTAAAGAAATTAATATTGCGTGCTGAAGATAAACGAAATTGAAATTCGGTATATTAATTACACGTGTACTATTCCGACTTGGTCATGATTGAAAAGTTGAATAAATGTGTCAATTTAATGTAATTATTATAAAACGAGAAATTATCGTCATCAAGATGAAGAAGATAGATTATTTTTTTTTTTTTTTTTTTTTTTTTTTGACATGACACAAATGAATCAGCCGTCATATTTTAGAAAAGCAAGAAATGAATGTGTACCTTCGTTTGATACAATAAAAAATATCAAATACTTTTGTTAAAAATTTTTTTAAAGACATTCAATTAGAATAATAAAATTATAAGTAATTATATAGAGAAATATATCAAAATATCATCACTAAACATTTTTTCAGCACTTTTAGAGTTAAGCATAAATACATGTTTCATAACGAACCACATTAAGATGGTACACTCGCGAATTGAAAATTTCTTGAAATTGAAACTGTACATTGTATTGGAAGACGTTGACACGTCTTTATGTAATTACAATAAGATTAATCATTTCAATATTAAGATATAAGCAGTTAAAAATAGTATTTTCTATATATGTCGTCTATACAAAGTTTATGAAATTGTCGCGTTTATTTATAGAGTCTAAATGTAATATGTTAATAAAAAACGAGCATGCGATAAAAGAATACGTGACGAATATTGTGAAAAGATAAATTTTTCACTGTTTAGTTTGGAACATAAAGCTGTAAAAATGCAACCTTTGTAACATTTGTCAATGCGTCATATGAATCGAAGGAAGTTTATAAATGTACCTAACAATGAGCTGCGTTATTTGTACTTATTTTTTTTCGCGTGTACATACGTGCGTGCGGCCTACAGGCGCAACCAAAATGATCTCTGATTGACGTGAGTAACAGTATCGTCATCGAGCTCTAACTTTGAATGGTATTATTGTGAGTGCACTGTCTTAAGCATTTAAAAACAGTGAAATAAGATATAAGCTTAAAATAACAATGAATTTTTGTAAAGGTAGTCATATAGATTGTCATATAGATATATTTTATCTAGATTTATGTGTAAGTTGTTTTTTATTTTAAGGAATTATTGCATAAAATACCAGGGATGGAAAGTTACTTTGCAAAAGTAATTAATTACAATATTCAATACTAAAAACCGTTAATATACGAACATAACTAATACGAATACGAAGCCTATAACAGTCCAACTTGTATCTTTAATTTCTTATATATAATTTTGTGTGAATTTATATACTTCCCCTCAAACTGCAGAATTGATTACAGTTACAGTTTTCCAAAAAGTAATTAATTACCGTTACAAGTTATTGACTCTGAAAAGTAATTCGTTACAATTACAGTTACAATTACTGAAAAAGTAACTTTAAATTATTTTAAATTACTTTTAAGTTTTTTTTTTTTTCATCAGAATTTTCACTAGTAGCACATCGATACGATACCATTAGGGCTGCATTCTAAAACGTTACTCGACTGCCTTCATGTATCGTTTTACTTAATATTAAGCAAGGAGTCAAGGATGTATACACGGAGTCATCAGAGTAATCTAGAGCAGCCTAGAACAATTTAAAAAAAAAACTGATTTACATGTTATACAATTTTATTTAAAAAGATAAGAAAATTATGTGGCAAAGACATACAATGTTTTTCGTAAAAAAAATTCTTTTTATATTCGGGTAAAAAAGTTGCAAATAAATTCCAGCACTAATCCAAAATGGGTTACGTGATTGCGTTTGTAAAACAACGGCTCAAATAATCAGGTGCATTTAGTATTACAACTGTTCATTGCTTTTGCATTTGATTGGCGGATTCCATTAGATCCAAAAGTATAGACCAAACAGGTACAGTCGCGGACACTGAGGTTGTGACACTTTTTTTTCGATGGTTTGCAGAATACGGCAACATTTTCAGAGTGCGATTCACCATCTATCGATACGTGTAACGAGCGGTCATGATAGCTGTTAAAGTGATACAGTATGCAAGGTGAAATCAAGAAGTGTATCTTGTGCGACGCGATACACTTAAGATATTAATTAATTAATCATTGGATTATTTATTGGGTTAAATATTTATTTTGTATGAGAAGGTTGTAAATCACTGTAGAACTCGACTGATTGATATCTTAAGTATTTATCGCGTCACACAAGATTATACATTTCTTGATCTCACTTCGATTCTGTATCACTTTGATATATACACAATATACAGTTATATAACTAAATATAATAAAATATTATATGTATGTATAATACATATTATAAATACTATACAAATACACAATATAAATTAATTATAAATACGTATTTATAATTGCAATTATGTATACATAAATAAATGATCACAGATTTACACAATTTTACTTAGGCACTCATGACTGTCTGAGAGAGATTATAACGAATGGCTTTCACTAATTCAATTGATTTAAAGATGCTCATCTTCAAAGACGACATCTTAAGTGTAGACTCGCGTCGCACAAAATACATTTCTTGATTTCACCTTGTATATTTCGATTCTGTATCACTTTGACATAACCGCTCGTTTATATGTATCGATAGATAGATAAGTGAATCGCGCTCTGAAAATTCTACAAACTAAAAGACCCCTACTAAACTGGACCCCCCACCAGCGAAAATCGAAGTGGCAATGGGTCAAAAATTTAGTGCTTTTTAGTTGCTAATTAGTTGCCCAAGAATTAATTTAGTTCGGCTCCAGCCGTTTAGCAGCATTTTAAAAAGAAAGGGAGTGGGTCCAGGTTAATATTAAGCTGGATCCCCCCATAATAAAAAAAATAGATACAGTACCGCTACAATGAAATCAACCACACCAGATTTAGACGGCAAAGCGGCTAGGTACGTTTGCCGTCTTGAACTCGCCCAATGTACGGATGAAGAAATCGCGCTCGCAAATATTGATTTTGCGTTAAAAATATTAATTTGCGATACTATCTTGGAGCAACTAAATAGTAACTAAATCTGATGTGGTTGATTTCATTGTAGCGGTACTGTATCTATTTTTTTTTATTATGGGGGGTCCAGCTTAATATTAACTTGGACCCACCCCCTTTTTTTTTAAATGCTGCTAAACGGCTGGAGCAACTAAATTAATTCTTGGGCAGCTAAAAAGCACTAAATTTTTGACCCATTGCCACTTCGATTTTCGCTGGTGGAGGGTCCAGTTTAATAGGGGTGAAAAAAAGTGTTACAACCTCAGCGTCCGCGATTGTACAAGAGTTCATTGAACGCTTTAATTAAATTTCTTTTTCTTCTAATTAATTAAATGTTTCAAAACATTTGTAGCGCCAAGTGGACACTACCGTACCCTAAATTGACAAATAAGTTTAAAATATATAAAATAACTATGAAAGTAACTATTAAATTAGTTACTAATTACTTAAAAGATGTAACTTAAGTTAAGGTGCATGTGAAGCTGGCATATCATTTGGTGGAAAGTTAAGTTATAATTACAGATGGATGGAAAGTAACGAAGTTAAGTTACAGTTACTGAAAAAAGTAACTCTAACTGTAACTTCGTTACAAGTAACGAGTTACTTCCCATCCCTGCGTAATATCTCGCGTAATACCATGTATTTTGTGTGTAATATTTGTTGTGAATTAGTTGATGCTAATAAACTGAATATCGTTTATTTTATTCTCTTGTAATATTTTTTGAAAATAAAATAATGACAACATATTACACAAAGTATTATAAATTATATGAATGTTTTTTTATTTTTATTCAATACTATTTTAAACTTGATATTTTTAAAACGAATAGCTTTAATATTTTTTATCCTTAATGGAGTATAAAGTCGGTGGTGTAAAAAGAAAAAAAAAAAGAAAAAATTATGAAACCCATAATTGTACATATTTATTGTATTTTAAATTTCCATTAAAAAAATGCTTGGAGAAATTTTTAATGAGATTATATACTTATGCCCAGATTCATAATCAAGCCAATATTTAAGGCTTTTTTAAGTTATCTTTAGATGCTTTATATATGAATTGTTTTATTAGCTACAGAGGCATTTAAAGATAAATTAAGGAATTCTTAGGTATAAGATTCGACTAGGAATATATACGAGCAATAAAAAGTAAAGGAAATTAAAAAAAAAAGAATAAATTTTATAACTTTTTAACCGTTACGTTTTGAAAATTTGAGCAGATATCAATCAATAATATTTTCATAGATTGTGTCATTCAGCGTAGAAATTTATTGCAGTCTGTCCATGGTCCAACAAAAGTGGAATTTCAAAAAGCACCACGGTCAAAAGAATCCTTTGAAAAAGTTCCATTCATCACAGCGGCGCTTACGTACTTTGGTTTTTATATTCTCATGTTCCTGGGATTTATTAATCAACTATTCTTTGTTCCGAAGATTGCCACTGAAAAAAATAGAGAAGTACGGCAATCATTTATATTTTATTAAATATTAATGAGTTCACATGAAAAAAAAAAAAAAAAATTTTTAATAAGAACATTAAGATTCCTATAAAATATCGAAAATGATCAATAAAAGTATTATATACGTATAGAAAATTTCACGATATTAATTAAAAAGATGTCCTATGAAATTTTATTTATTCTGTATACTTTAGAAATAATTTTTATTATGTATTATAGAATTTGTTGTATTAAATTTAACAATTTTTTTTGTACAAATGTATATAAAAAATATTTTCTTGTATTTGTTAATTTTGTATGAACAATTACATTTTATTTTGTACAAAATATTTAAATATCTTTTTATAGTGAGCATGTGTTTTTAGGGATATGCTCCGCTCTATGATAATTTCGAGAAATTTTATCTCAAGTATGTCTATAGAAGAGTCAGAGATTGTTGGAATAGGCCGATTTGTTCTGTTCCTGGTGCAAGAGTTACATTAAAAGATCGAGTAACTCATGATTATGGATGGACATTTCAGTATGTTTGACTACGTACGAAAGCCAGAATTACCATATATCGATAAAATTGAAATCCCTATTTTTTTTAATTCTGACAGATTTACTGGAACTGAAACACAATGTATAAATTTGGGCTCTTACAATTATTTAGGGTTTGCTGAAGCGAGTGGTAAGTGCGCCGACGAGAGTATTAAAACGCTCCGGAAGTTTGGTTGTGCCAGTTGCAGTACGCGGCTTGAATTAGGTAAATAACCTGAGAAAGAATTATTATTTAGATATTATTGTTTAATTTCCTTCAGCAAGTGATGGAACCATAATAAAATATTTAAAAATGTTAATCGAGTCTATAACATAATTGTACATAAATTCTGTTTCTAAGAAAAATAGATTAATTATAGAGATTCCAATCGAATCAAATCTTACGTGATTTGATTCAATTCTATTCGTATAGTTTATACATTTCTAGCGACAATCATATGGAAAATAATGCTTTGGGAATATACATTGAGTGCCACCAAGTATCAATTCATCCTTGTTTAACATTTAGTGAATGACAAGGATAGATACGTGAAAGCACTCTATATGTGTATTCTCGAACGCAACTTAAAATATAATACATATTCGTAATGAAACATAATATCTTTAATGTGTTATGATTATTATGTTTACAAACTAATTTATAGATGAACTTTTAAAAATTGAAAGTTTCGAATTTGAAAATTGTTGAAAAATTTAATTTCTAATTTAACAATGTTAATCTGTCATAATTTATTTGAAAAAATGTATATTTACTTTTTTTAAATTAGATTTATATGTAATAAAAAAGAATTGAACGAATCTTTTTGCATTAAGGTACTATGCCGATACATGATGAGCTCGAAAAATTGACTGCAAAATTTTTGGGAGTTGAAGACGCCATAGTATTTGGAATGGGATTTGCCACGAATTCTTTAAATATACCTTCTTTGGTCAGTAAAGACTGCCTAGTTCTTAGCGATGAGAAGAATCATGCATCGCTTATTCTCGGACTACGACTATCTGGTGCAGTTATACAGATCTTCAAGCATAATAGTACGTATATTACGCAACACTCATTTACAACAACACATACAATTATTTCTTTTACAACAGAGTCATTGTTTATTACAGGTGTAAAACATTTGGAAGAATGTTTGAAGAAAGCTATTGTTTTCGGGCAACCGAAGACTGGCAAACCTTGGAAGAAGATAGTTATCATTGTCGAAGGTGTTTACTCTATGGAGGGTTCAATCGTCCACTTACCAGAGATGTTACAGCTAAAAAAGAAATACAAAGTTCGTAAAAGTAATCTTGATTACACTATTCTGAGAATTGACATCTTGAGATCATTATCTGAACAAAATCGCAGTAAACATATTATATAAAATTTCCATTAAAAACTTTGAATGTACTGTTTCCGAGAACAAACGTGTGAACATATAATACAGTAATCACGTAGAGGGGGCTAACTGACCTAGATGCATGTATAAACTCATGTATCTCCGTTGCGTTTTCGTTTGCGACACCAGCACCTTTAATTTCTTTCCCTTAGAATTTATTCTTGCATTTAACGAAGTAGTATCAATAACGCTTTAGCAATATAAGGTGCAGTTCTATATTCTTTGGATGACTGTTATCCCTTATACGAGTACGTACGTAACTTTCTATGATTTAATTCAGCATATTGTTTGACATTTCATTTGTATATTGTGTTATTTTTATGAAATGATAATTGAGGTTTTTAATATAAGATCTATAATTAATAAAAATTTATGTTGTATGGGTGCGATATTGATGTAATATATAGTTGATGATTTAAAAAAGTTATAAAAATTTCAAAATAGTGAAAGAATTTTTGATTCAGTTTAGTCTGCTCTATCTACCTACGAGTCTTACTGAGAAAGCTACTAGACATTTAATATAATTACGAAAAATATGTTTTTACATTTATTAATATTATATATTATATATATAATGTGTTTTACATAATATTTTAGTTCTTTTTGTTTAATTTTTAAAACATAAACACTTCTTTTGTTTTAAAATAATATTTATAATATACTCTTAAACCTACATCGCTTAGTATTTTCAAATTCGAAGTAAAAGTTTTGGAAGTGTGAATGACACTCTGAGTTACACACTAGTATGTAATGGAGGTATTTTTTTCAATATAATACTTTTTTTGGAATATTGAACATATTGTTGCGACTTTAAAGTATTGCTCCCCCATATATTGCTATGTCCTTTATAAAGAGCGAAAGGAAGAAAAAGAGGATTGATTTAAAGAAGCGGTTGTTCCAGTGGTTACGGTTCGAAAGAGAAAGTAAAAATTTTTTTTTTTTTTTTTTTTTTTTTTTTTTTAAACAATGTTGTCATTATTTTGCATGCGCGTGCGACTGTCGCATACCATTAATCACACTTTCTTTTTTCCCAAATTTTCATTACGATTAATATTAATATTTTTTGTTGATTAGGCCTACCTCTATGTGGACGAAGCGCACAGCACAGGAGCTATAGGGAAACACGGAAGAGGAGTTTGTGATTATTATGGTATTGACCCGCGCGAAGTAGATATACTCATGGGAACATTCACGAAAAGCTTTGGTTCGGCAGGCGGATATATAGCCGGAACAAAAGTAATATTTTTAATGTTCTTCAGCTTCGCATTTTAAATATCTGTATATCTTCAATCAAATATATGTTTCAGGCACTGATAAATCACATAAGAATATATGGTCACGCGCATACATACGCAGCATCATTGTCTCCTCCCGTTACGCAACAAATCATCACGTCGATGCGAATTATAACCGGGGAGGACGGTACAGATGCTGGTGAAAAACGTATCAAACAGTTAGCTAGGAATACGAGATACTTTAGACGTAGATTGAATCAAATCGGAGTTATAATTTACGGAAACGAGGATTCGCCTGTTGTGCCTATGCTAGTTTACTTATTTTCTAAGATCGGGTAAGTTAAAATATTATTTTTAAGATCTATTTCTGTTTGAATTTGCCATTTCATCTTTCTCTTTTTACAATCTTCAACACAGTACAGTGATCCGTACTTTGACATCCCGTAACATTGCAACCGTTGGTGTTGGATTCCCAGCGACGCCATTAATGGAAGGTAGAATTAGATTTTGCCTTTCCGCTGCACACACAAAGGAACAGTTAGATTATGTAAGTAAAATTAATCAGGGTTGGGAAGTAATGTCTTACTTGTGACGTCATTACTATCACTTATTTTTTTTCAGTAACAGTTATTTTGTTTGTTATTTTGTTCTGTCTATAATGATAATGGTAACGTCGTTATATTTTTATAGTAACAATAATGAAATTACACACAGTCATTATTTTTTTATCCTTTAATTGCCTGTTATTTTTATATCTGCTCAATAGATCGCATCATTTTTTATTGTGCGTGCATGCGTGTGTGAATAGAAATATTTTGTTTAAACAGAAGTTTTAAAATTGACAAATACTTTATATTTTAGACTGCATTATGATAGTCACTGTTCTTGTCTTGTTCTGAATCTCTCCGTATATTTCTCTGTCTCGCTCTCATTACCACCATCTCCGTTCTTTCATATATCTTCTCTATGATATGTATCTTCTTTCTCTGCCAATCAACTCCTTCGTTCACTCTCTTACTCACAAGTTCCATCTCTATCCATCTTATCGAAGGCGGTCTTCAAATCCATGAACATTATATATCTTCCCCTCGTTTTTTTTTTTTTTGCTTTTCTCTCTAAATTATGTGGTTTAGCACAGAAACATTATCGATCTATCTTTCCTAAAACCTGCCTGATATTCTGATATCATTCCTCGATCTTCTCTCTTCCAGTCTATTTCTTAATATCTCAATATATATTTTATGATATGCATATATAGCATTGTATTCACGATCTTTTCTAAGTTACTTTTTGTCTATATAAATAATGTAACTTTAAAATTTAATGCTTTATTTTAGCATTACAAGAAAATAAAAAAATAACAAATCGTTACTTTCTAAATAATTTCTTTTTTAATTAGTAACGTGTGTCAGTGATGAATTATCTTTTACAAAAAATGACGGTAACGTATTATTTTTAAAAAAGTAACTTTCCCAATCCTGACATTAATGAACCAAAAGGTTCACTATTTTAAACTGTAAAATTTATTATTTTAAATTGTATTCTATCTCAGGTATTGTCACATATTGAAGAAATTGCGGACATATTAGGATTAAGATACTCAAGAAAACCTCGCACTACAACGAAAATAGAATATTCGGACAGTGAAATGGAATGACCTATCTCTTATAATAATAAATCGTTAAGGAATTTATTTCTGTGACAAGTAGAAAAAGTATCAAAATAGTTGAGGGCTTTAAACAACGCTAATAATTCTACTACGATTCATCGCATCGTATAATACATTAAATAAGAAAGTTATATTATAATTATTACAATAAACTAGCGCATAAATTTTTTACGAAAATATACGAATGTGACGGTTTATATATGAAGAAATAATTGGAGGATATAATTCATACAGAATAATGGAAATAAGAAAAAAGTGGAGGTATTATTATAATATACTACTAAACAGGGATAAAGAGAGGAATAAAGTACAGTATATTAAAGGATTGTATTATATGGTATATCAAGCGAAACTTTTTGCTATAGTTTTTTTCTGATGTCGATATTATGTCAAAAGGAAATGCTGAAATTTTTTTTACAAGCATTTTACAGAAATAACATTCCACTATATTTTATATTAGGACTACAAACTTCAGAAATATATCGCGTTTTATAAGGATAATCACAAAATGATGTAACTAATTAAATCTATTACTACTTGTCTTTTATCTTGAAATAAGGAATTACGCTGCCTCCAGATATTGTCTTTTTTTTTTTTATGATCCATATACATTCAATAAATGAACGAATTCGATATTATCGAATGTCTCTCAATGAATTAGATTATACAGATTATTAATTTTATTATTTATGTATTCTCACAATAGTTGAAAAAATATTCCAAGATTGTGTTAAAGTATATACACTGCCGACCAAAAGTTTGGAAACACTTGGTTCGAATTTGAAAATGTGTATGTTTCTAAGAGTTTTGCCCACCAAAAAAATCTTTTTACTTATATTGATACAGAATCAAACCTTTGCCGGTGACGTGAGGGTAAAATTGTCTGCTATAAGTAACATGAACTATAAAATTTTCATCAGTCCATTTGTTTTTGTTTTGATAATATCGACAAAATTGGAGTTTATACTTAGCAATTTATTATTCTGTGGGAAGATCTCGATCGAAAAATAAGAGCATCTTGTCCAACATCCGCTGCGGACTTATGGGAGAAGCTAAGAGAGGCATGGGCTTCCCTGGAACAGGAAACTTTGGATAAACTTGTTGAAAGAATGCCACGGTTGGTGACAGCAGTTATCAAAAGCAAGGGTGGATTCTTTGATGAAAAAAAAATCTGATGTCATTAATACCTTTTTTCTTCATTTTTTGTGTTTGTTGTAATACATTGTTATACTATGTTTCAATTAAGTAAAGAAATAAATTTCCTAAGAAATTCATGCCAATTCCTGTATACATCAGCAATACATATTTTTTCAAAGGTATTTCCAAACTTTTAGTCGGCAGTGTACATAGATTAAAAATTATGCAAACATTAAAATTATACTTTTATTTTATTTTATGTTGTATTTCGGAATAATTTACATTTTAAAAAGTCCAAATATAATAGGTAATCTTATATAATGCATTATGTTCCTTTTTTTAATTATACGTACATTATAATTATATATACAAGATATCTTATTTAAAAGTTATATTGTCTAATTTAACGATTATATAATTTTTTTTAAAGGACAATAGATAAAAATAATTTTCAAAAATTTTTGTTTTTTTAAGGGTCAGATATGATGAAGGCTTCCTATTTTTTAAATAGAATTATGATTTCTTTTTACATGATATGATTCTAGTTCTTCTGCATATAAAAATATTAAGGTAGAAATAACAAAAAATCAATAGTTTATAAGATATTTTGTATGTTGTTCTGGCGCACATAAGATATAAAATATTTCATAAACTATTCATTTTTTTGCAATTATATCTTAAAACTTAGGAAATAGGAAAGTAATGCTTAAATAATTCAATAAGAATTTGTATATACTATACATGTATATATTTATAGTTACTTGAACTGAGATACTTATTGTTTAATACTTTTATGCAAAATAATGAGATAAATCGGTGTAAAAAAAACACAGTTACTTCTCAAAAAAGTTGTTTCGTATTTTTTTGTTTTTACATTAATTGATTCATCCTATTCTTTAAAAGTATTAAAATACAATTGCAAAAAAATGAGTAGTTTACGAAATATTTTAAAATATAAATGCCAAAAGAAGCTTTAGACAAAAGTTGTATAGCTTGTAATAAAATATCTAAATTGTAACAGAAGTAATAAATTTCCTAAGAACTCTTTATATTAAAAATACAAATGTGATTGGACAAATGAGAATATGAACGCGGTAATTAGAGCGCAAATAATCTTACTAATTGGTATTTAATGTAAGTTCTTCCAATCCTACATCAGAATCGTACGTTTTGACTCGATTTAGAGTCTTCTTCAGCAATATAAATGTTTACAAGTTTATTGTGTGGAAACATTCTTTTTTTTCAACATATCAAGCCACTAAAGATTGATAGATCCAAAATGATGTAAATGTATTATATTGAAATTAATACGAGAAAGAAGAATGTTTTATATAGAATCATAAATGAATTCATAGGAACATAATACTAAATATTAAAATTAAATTGATCATGTTATAACATGTGTATACATCATTTAAAGGAAACAAATATATATATGTATAGTATCTTCGTAAACTACGATTTTTTCATAGCTTTATCTTAATTATTTTATATGCAGAATAATTAATAGTATCATATATTATATAAGAAAAATTATCATACAACTTTTCTCTGAATTTTTTTTGTCAATTGCTTTGTTTTCGAGACATTCCACTGTTTCCATTAAAATAGGATACGTTGTGTGTATACGTATATACTCATATTATTCATGATTACAGATGCGTATACAGGGTGATTTAAGTTTAACTGCAGCAGTCTACACGTATTATATTCTTTATGAAAAAGTGAATCGAAAATATTAAAAGCAAAAAAGTGGCATCAATAGTTGTTAAATGCTCATCATTTGAAAACTGTTGATGCCACAACATTTTGCTATTAATATTTTCGATTCACTTTTTCATGAGGAATATATACGTGCCGACTCGAACTGAATCACCCTGTATATAATCATGAATGTTATACAATGTATTTGTACCTTTATTATTGGAAAATAGAATATGTGCTCTACTTCTAGCCGTTAAAAATAAATACTTTCATACAAAAAGCTATTTTCATGCACATTCCTTGAAATTTTAGTGTAAAAATCAAATTTGTAAGCATTTATAATTTATTAATTCATTTAAGTTTGAAAAAATAATTTTTGTCAATGGAAATGCGTGTTGATAATTGATATATAAAGTGGATAATAAGTACTTTAAAATATTTTTAGGATAAAAATGATTTCTTATAAATTGCCTCTCTCTCTCTCTCTCTGTCAAAACGAAAACTTAAAATAACCAAAATAGTTTTTGAACTTTGTGAAAGCAAGAATTTTGTTTTAACTTTGACATTATGTATCTTTGAAATTAAATCGTTTTAAATATATGGTTATATGACGTTTTTGTTTTTAATTTATGTGAGAAATTACCTCTTAAAATCTTTTAAGAGTATCCATTCTATAATATTTCCTCTTGATGAAATTAAGCGAGAATTTAAATCAAACAATGTAACATTGATTATATTGAGTTAGATTTAAATATAACAATGAGTTTTGAGAACTGATAATTAATATACATGTCAACATTTATTTAAATTAATAGATACATTTCTAAATCTTATTTTAATGAAAATATATTGTATGTAAACACGCATACATTACATACATATCAACACAATTTCTTAGAAATATCTAGATAATAATTAGAAATATCTAATATTTATTTTTAATAAAGCCTTTTAAAATTTTGATTCTTGTCATGATTTTCTTTATAATAAGATAAATATTTTCTTTAATTTTAAGCAAGAGGTAATGTAACATTAATAAATAATGTAACATTAATAACGCAAACAATGGAACAATGAAACGTCTTTGAAATTATCATCCTATTAAAAATAATCATTGTTAGAATTCTATTTTCATTTCATTAAATATATATACTGCCGTCTTTGTAATATAATCATCTCGTATTATTTATCAAAATGTATATGACTGATGAATCAAATTTTGGCAGTAAAATGTATCAAGATAATTATAAAAAAAGTTTAATTACTTTTTAATCACTTATAATTATATTAATAAAATAAAAAATATATGAAATATACGATAATTTCGAAAGTTACGATTTTGGGATTGCTATATAATATATTCATTATGCTATAATATCTCGAATTTATGGTTCGTTATTATCAATTATTGAAGTTTATGTACAGCCTTAAATTATGAAGTCAAATTGTTCTAACAGATCAAAATATTCGAGCTTTCGAAAATTCGAACAATTGAAATACTTAGGAAATAAACAAACTAATTTGATCTTACCACTTATAATAAAAGTACAAATATTCAAAGTAGAGGCATCAAGGAAAATTATAGCGAAAATTAAGATTTAATTAGAAACAAGAATATTGTATGTGTGCGTGCGTGTGCGGACGCGCGCGCATATATGTGTATTGCTTATAAATAATATTATATTACATTACTATTATTGTATTCGGAATGGGGGGGGGGGGGATTGTACGTTTAAATATATCCTCAGACTTGAATAATTCGAATAATTTCTGGTTCAAACTTTACTTCAAATTAGAATTGTTCAATAATTACAAAATTGCGAACAATACTTATAAAATAATATGAATAAATAAAAATATACAATTGTTTATTAATAATAATATTAAATACATTTTATTAAATTTTACTTATGTAGAAACGCCATATACTTTTTATAACTAAAATTTTAGTATATTACTAATTAAACATATAAATTAAATTGTGTTTAAGGATATCTTACTAATCACTTCTATGATTATACTAACATTGCACGCATTCGATGTCATTCTTTTACGTGATCGATAGATAAGACCAGTTATACATTTATTTTAACATAAACTGAAAAAAATGAAAATGTATTATTATGTCACATCTTCGTAATCTTTAATGATAAAAAGACGAATTAAAATACTGTGTCATCAGTGGCGAAATTAAATCTGCGTTAATACTTCTCTATAGTTTCTCAAATAACATTTAAATGCTTTTTTATATATATATATATGTACATAAAACATAATATTTGTATTTAAAAAAATTATGTAGACTTGATTCAGTGACTGTTTGTTAATCATAAGAAAGTTAATGATATATTAACAGATGGAAAGCAAAATCATCTTTTAGCTGACAAAATTTAAATTCTTTGCAAAATCTCTTTTTGATATACTCAGTTCTCCGGGTTCTATTTAGAGAAGTACGAAAGATTTCTTGACGCTGAATCTAATCTAATCGAACTTTATTTCTTTATTCGAATCTAAACAGATTCGAATCGACAAGGTTTTACCTGAACCAAATCGAATCGTTGAAACGTAACTTTTAATTAACAACATAATTATTGTTAATTTGAATTCCAGTATGTAAGTAATAAAAGGTTTTCATCAGTTTTATAATACTTATTAGCGGAAAAAATATAATTTTACATAGTCAATGTATGTGATTTGTATTTGAACCTCTTAGATTCGAAATTTTTGAATAGTTTATATTCGAATCATAGAGATTCAAATCCAAGTCAAATATCGAATCTTATCTGATTCGATTCTATTCGATTCAGATTCAAACAATTCTTATATTTTTAGTTTTATTAATAGTTTGTTATATAAAAGATTATATAAACGATTACTTTTATATATAACTTTTAAATAAAGTTTTTTAAAAATAATTATGTTATTATATTTGTAAATAATTATATTTTTATGCCATTATAAAATAATATAAAATCATAAAGCATGATTCAAATGGTTATCGCGCAAAATTTATTTAAAAAACAAGCATGAGTTTATATAAGTAGAAATATATCTGTTGAAATTAGAGCAATTGTAATACAAGTAAAAAACCTACCTAAAAGATATAAAAATTTTATATTTGAACTATTTAATATGAATAATCGTTTACATGATTGTTACGAATTGTATTATTAGGCAATTGAATCCTAATATGTAGTTAAAAATATTACTGTAAACTTTAAAAAGATCCTGTTAATATTTGCTTACATGTATAGATAATGATGTATATTAACATACATATATTAATACAGTATTTTTATGATTTGCATGAAATTGATCAAATTTTAATATAGTAAAGCTCTAAATAATTTTAAGTTTGTTTTAAGATTTAAGAGAATAGTTTTAAAATATTTTATAATAAAATTTACTCTATTTCAGATAAATAAGATTTATTAAGTTAATGTAGTCTGGTCTCTTTTTTTTTTTTTTTTTTATTATATTGTACTTTATATAATACCTATATTAGTATATACATATTAGATTATAATAATGTTATTACAAAGGTATGTTGTTGCGCATTTGGAAATCACGTGACAAAGACGTAACCAATACGAATTAGACAGTCAGAAATAAGTCTAAAGCTCTGCGTCCACGATGCTAGAACTCGATCCGAATTCTCGGACCAAGAAATGTGTAGCCAATCAATTTACCGTTTTTCCGTAAAAACTGCATGCTGATTGGATACACATTCCCCTGAATTCAAGAACTCGAACAGAGTTTTAGCATCGTGGACACAGGGCTTTACTCAATAAAAGAAATAAAAAGAAAAAAACAAAGAACAACGGGATTATACTGATAACGGAGAGGTCTTGTTTCCTGCAAACTTCCAGCCACTTCAAAACCATTGCATTATCCTTCGGGAAAGAGAAGTATTGAACTTTTCTTCCTGGCATATTCTTAAAAATAAATAGCGACCCTGTTTCTCAAGGAGCCGAACCTACACGAACCGCTCCGAAAACAGCCGAGATTCATTGAAGAAGAAGACGAAGTGACGTGATCATGACAGTATCCTAACCTGAATAGTCGTGAACTTTAACAATTAATATCTCGGTTCGCGGGGCAAAGCGACACTTTTTTTCTGTTAGATTCTTTTATTTTATGGAAAAACACGTCGAATGTGTACAATTTCATCGATTTGTGTGATGATGATTAACCTTTACCGTAGAATTAAAGGAACATATATCAAAAGAATTGAACAGTTTAAACATATATAAATAGAAAAGAAATAGAAAATGGTGATATATGGTGTTTATATTGTATCTAAGTCTGGTGGTTTGATCTTCAATCATGATCACAATGTACCAAAAATTGAAGTCGAGAAATCCTTTAATTTTCCACTTAATATTAAATTAAACTATGAGAATAAGAAGGTAGTAGTAGCTTTTGGGCAGAAAGATGGAATACATGGTAAGAATATTATTTATTATAATAAGAAGTAATTTTGTAATTATAGAATGAAAGAAAAAGTAAAGGCTTTACTTTGCAATGTTAGTCCATAAGTTTTAATTATGATTTCGAATATACTACATATCTTAATATCATTATCAAATATTTCTTTTCTTTTATAGAATGTCCTTTTATATAAATTGTATGAATCAATATACAAAAGCTATAGTCTTAATGTTTTCGACATTTTGGAAAAATTTAAAAACACATTATTAATGTACAGTAATAAAAAAACAAAATTTGCTATTATTTTTCTTTCATATTATATGTTTTTGTAATGTGTCACTAAATATTTTAGTAAAGCACTAAAAAATAGAAATAAATATAAGAGAGAATCAAATATCTTTCAGTGGGACATGTATTAACAACTGCAAATGGAATTGCAGTCACAGGACGTGAGCTTGAAGATGGAAGAGACATCCTAGAAATGTTGGAGCAACCAGAAAATTTCCCTATAACATTAAAATTTAGTCGAGCAAAGATGACAACAAATGAGAAAATATTTTTAGCTTCTATGTTTTATCCTCTCTTTGCAATAGCAAGCCAACTGAGTCCGGAACCAAGAAGTTCCGGGATTGAGATTCTTGAAGCAGATACATTTCGTTTATATTGTTATCAGACATTGACGGGTATTAAGTTCATGATAGTAGCAGAGCCATCACAATCAGGCATGGAAATTTTTTTGAAAAGAGTATATGATTTATATGCAGATTATGCACTAAAAAATCCATTTTACGCGCTAGAAATGCCTATCCGATGTGAATTATTCGAAACTAATTTACAGACATTATTGGAAACTGTAGAAAAATCTGGGATAAACAATGTTTAATATCTAAATTTATATACATGTAAGTTATCAATAAATTTAAAATAACTAAGTAGAAATATAAAGATTGTAACACTTAAAAAATGATCCTTTTTGTAAGTTCCACTATGTAAAATTTAATTTTGTTGAATAGTCAAACTTTAAGTTATATACGTAATTAAATTGTATATATATATCAATATTATACGCGCATATATATCCAAATATATATATATAGGGTAGAATGTCCTAAATTGGACTGTGTTTCTAAATCGGACCTTTTTAATTTAAATAAATTAAGAGATTTGCACGCTATTTATAATGTAAAGTCTTTATAAGACACCGAACATGTGACAGCAGTTTGGCAGTACTCTGTTATAACACGTTCACAGAACAGACGCAAATATGTATTTTCGGCTATCGTGCAAAAATTTAAAAAAAAAACAGCCTTGTAAATCATTATTTAAAAGATGTTAAAAATTTGAACGGTAATTGATTTAAGATGATTAAAGAGTGTAGAATTTAAAAATATCAGTTTTGTAATTACTGTTGCGGTTTACTGTAAAATTTGTTCTAATCGTTCGAAAGAACTCTTGTCCAAATCGGAACCATACAAAAAACACTAAAAAGACGAGTAAACCAACTAATTCATCGAAGAAAGAAGGTTTGCCATAACCTAGTTGTAGTATTGGTGATCGACCGACCAGATCTGGTCTAAGGAACACTAAATCAATAAAATACCATATGTCATCAGATTGATGGAATTTTTTATTGATTTTAATTCTAATAATATAAACTGTATTTTTATTTTTGAGTCTTAAATTGCTCGTTTTTACTCAATACTAAAAAAATTAATTGAAATATTTTAAAATTCTATCTAAAAGTCTATAAAAATCGGATCGGAAAATGCGTTTTTACATTTTCCATTATAGTTCGACACAGGTAAAAAATACGTCAAAATGGTCTGAAGCAAAAATGAAGGGAATTAAATGATCTTTCGAACGGCACCATTGGTTTTATGATTGGATTTTATTTATGCCTCATAGAGAACAAAAACTGCAAATAGGTCCGATTAAACTACTCTCCCCTATATATATTGAATTGATATTTTAATATACTGAAGATACATGTATTGAATATGATACAAATTAAAGGAAACTTTTGTAACATCAACAAAATTTAATCATATGACAATATTAAATATTGCTGTTAAAAATGAAGAGATAAATATCAAATTAAAATCTATAATATTTTATAATAATAATAATGACTATAATAGAATCTTATTTTTACGACCGTACAATTGTTAAACAATAACAAGAAAGAAGGAAGCAGAAAGCAAAGCCTATCAAGCTAGATCAAGATGCTTATTATCATTATGTGTGAATTTATATATCGCGTATGTAGTTCTCTCAATCGCGTGCCGAACATTTTTTCAGACTTACAACGCAACTCTAAATAACTACCGCGATAATATCACTTTTAGTTAGATTGACAATCAATCTAACAAATTTCGATGCTTATAGCATCTTATTAGATCTTAATAATATGTTGAAAGACATATATTAAAATTTAATATTAAAGTAATGATAATTGAAATCTGTGAAAAATAAGATTGCGAAGAATATCACAAGTTGGCGTTTCGTCCCAGCTTCCACCACTGGACTCATCAAAGAGACATACGTGTATCTCAGCACTTGCGAGAAATTTAAACGAATATCAATTGAATAGACCTCTGATGGCGAGTCGACGTAATAATATTCTTCGCAATATCTGTCTTAATTATCTGTCTCAATTATCATTACTTTAATATTAAATTTTAATATATGTCTTTCAACATATTATTAAGATCTAATAAGATGCTATAAGCATCGAAATTTGTTAGATTGATTGTCAATCTAACTAAAAGTGATATTATCGCGGTAGTTATTTAGAGTTGCGTTGAAAAAATGTTCGGCACGCGATTGAGAGAACTTCATACGCGATATATAAATTCACACATAATGATAATAAGCATCTTGATCTAGCTTGATAGGCTTTGCTTTCTGCTTCCTTCTTTCTTGTTATTGTTTAATAATGACTATATTAATTCATATTTAATTCGTGATATCCTTTGCAAATATTTACCTTTGTTATTACATAACATGCATTAATTTTTATTTTTGTTCATATCAATATGTATATTATATTTAAATCAACATTTCTAACATTTTTATCTTTAAATAGTTTAAAAGTTGTATAAACGTTCTTAACAAATCTTTGTTCATGGCACTGTATTCCATTGCTGTTTTAAATCAGGTTCTGTAATCTGCAAAATAAGAAAAAATCTTAATATATGTAAGGATGGAAAATGAAATTAAAAACTTAATCGTTTAATACCTTCATTGTTAAATTATCAATGCAGGCATTACGTATACGTGCAGCAGTTGCAGGGGCATCAAATCTAAAATACTTATGAATATTCATATCTTTACGTGCAGCCTTAATTGCCTCCTTAATGGCAAAGAACGCAGATGATGCCAGAAATAACGGTGGCTCACCAATAGCCTGTTATATATTCAAATTATGTCTTAATATGATATAAGAAAAATATAACAAGTATAATATTGTTTTATAATATATTGTTATCTTATTTTTTTTCTTTGAGATCAATGCATACTAATGTATATATGAAAATGAAAAATATTTGAAATTACACAAAAAGATTATACCTTGGAAGAATATACTGCTCTTGGATTTGAAACTCCTTTTAATAAGGAAACATTAAATTGCTGAGGTATATCGTTAAAACCTGGTAATTTATACGCGCCAGGTCCTCTGCTAAATAAAGTTCCTGTTGGTGAATAAATCATTTCCTCTAATGTGAATAAACCATATCCTTGAACGAAGGCTCCTTCAACTTGTCCTATGTCAATGGCTGGATTCAAACTCTCTCCTAAATCCATGACAATATCTGTCCGTAAAACCTATACCGATTAAAAAAAAAAATCAGTATTCATTTCATATAATCCTTATACATGTTTCTGTAACATATTTTGAATCTTTATAATTTTTACGTATGAAAAATATATACATAAATCTTTATTTATTAAGTTATTATGAGAGTCGTTCATATTCCTGACATAAAGTCGGGCAGCATAATCGCCCCGAACATAAAAAAAATAACATATCCTAGCCGCTTGGGACCTAACCGCCTAGAAGTTACAGCCTAGACAGTGTCCGCTTGGAATATTCTTAACCCATGAAGACAGTGGGGTGTGAGGATATTCCAAGCGGACACTGTCTAGGACGGCTACGCCGCCCCGAACCTAAGCTTTACTGTCTATACACCCCTCTGTCCACATGGGCGCTTCAAAATAAAGTAACAGCTAAATCCCGGGCATGGCCGCTCTCAGGCTTCTCTCTGGTTTCTCGTACAAAAACCAATCGAATGAGTGTATTTTTATCAAAATTTGAACGGAGCGGGTTCTATACTTTTACCATATTTTATAAATAATATCTTGTACATACAAGTAAGTTTGCTTTTTTTTGCATTTTTATGAAGTTCGATGTTGATGGTACACACGCGATCCGTTTTATATTTCTGTTTTCAATATCCATCGCTTGATATTTTATTCTATTTTATATAAATATTTTGATATAAAATATCTTGCAAACTATTAATTTTTTAATAATACTTTTTGTACGGAATAGTGTTATCAGTTTTTAAACATGGCCTACCGCGTCTTCTGATGAATCAAATAATGTGAAAGAATACATATTTACTTTTTCTGAATATAATTGCTTTGAATATATTTGAATTTTGAATATAATTACTTTTTGAAAAAGGTATTAATTACATATTGCATAATTATGTATGTAATGAGATGTACCTCATGATCACCAGTAAGACAATCAACTTCCACCTCTGTGCAAGCAACGCCATACGTAAAATAATTAAAGGGATTCCCTGTATTAGTTTCAAAAGAATATCCAATATTTGGCGTTTGATAGAAACCGGTAGCAGACAGACTTATCCTTTGATAATATGCTGCTTTTATCCACTCTTCCCAAGTACCTTTTGGATTGCTGTTAATTATCGGTTGTAAACGTTTCATGATTTCATTGCACGCATTCTAAAAATTAATTTCCACAATTATTTAATCGATTTTTGTTTACGTATAATATGTATTGTATGTAAAATATAACACACCATAATAGCCATGCCATTGAGATCAGATCCGCAACTCGCTGCAGTCGCCGATGTATTGGGAACTTTGTCAGTAGCCGTTTCAACGATATGTATCTTTGATGGATTTATCCTTAAGATTCTGCTAGCAATCTGAAAATATAAAGAATAACTGTACTTCATTTTCTTAACTTAAAATTTCTACAGAGATTAATTTCAATTAATTTAACTATATAAATTTACAGTTGCATAATCAATATTAATTAAGATAACTGTTTATATTTATTCATATTTGTTTTTTTGTAATTCTCATTCCTTTTATAATTCATTACACATCATTATATAATTATAAAATCTGTTTACATTATTATATATGTACATCTCAAAAGTTTGGATACTTTTCATGAAAGCTAAATATCTCGATGAAAAAAATTGTAGAGAAGTTTTCGACCACGTATTTTAAAATGCACAGGTAGAAATTCAAATTTGAAAAAACAATATATAATAGGTTCAGATGAATAAAAATCCCCAAAAAATTAATAAAATGCCAATATGAGCCAATACAAGTTATTAGTGTATATTTATATATACCATATATACATACATATAAAATTTATTTGAAATGAATAATAAGACGTATACGTTTCGACCTTCGGTTCAGGTCCCCTTTAGTACAACGAAAATTAATTAAATATAAAAATTATACACATAATGGTAGTGCATAATTTGAGTTAAAATTTGTTTTCTAAGATATCTTGTTCCTAAATCACATAAAATTGAATATTGATATTATAGAATACCAATTTATTCAACTAAAAGATTATGCAAAATATCAATCATTTTCTTTCATTACTTT